AAAGCTGAGAGATTAATTTTAAGTTTCTTAGGACTGACTTCCAAGTTTTCGGTTACAATTTTCTTATTATTTAGCTCAAGTGCTTTCTTCATCTTAAGGGCTTTATTATATCTACTATTTTAAATAATATGTCAAAACCCTTAAATGTTTATGAATACAAATAATAAATTAATGGAATAAAATGATTGTAGATTAAGGAATTTTATTTATCTTGCTAGGGATCCATTGAGTTTCTTTAATTTGAGGGTTTGTAGCATTTATCAGTTCAGGAAAACTTTCTGCTGTGATGTCTTTTCGTATTGCCTCTCCCCTGTTATCTTTCTTACGAGGTGCATGTAGACCTCTTCATTCTGTTTCCATGTTTGTAAAACGTTTTCATATTTTCTCCCTCTTTGTCCTTCTGTGCTACATTCTGGGGGATTTTTTCCAGATTGTGTAGTTCAGTTATGTCAGATCCTGTCCATTTGGATTATAATTTAGTTTATTATACTTTTTATTTATAGGTGATATTATAGTTTTATTAATATATGGTATTCTGTTTGATTATTTTCTAAATAATGTTTTTTGATAATCTTTTTACAGTGATATTTTTAATATTCTTCAATTCCATAAACATATAAAATATAATTATTCAGTGAGTTTGAACTGCCAGCTTTCTGCTTAGCAGTCAAATGCCTTAGACACTACGCCAGAGCTCCCTGTTACTTACTTGATGACTTTAAGTCTGATTCTGATACTGTGTCTAATTCTCAATAACGGTGGCTGGTTTCCTTGCTTGTTTTGCAATTTTCTGATTATTTGTATTTGTTGAAATATCTATTATTCCCATTATACAGATAAGGAGGTATTTGTTGGAATTTTATCCATGGAAATATATTTACTTCTGCCAGATACCTGAGAGCATATCCAGCCCTGGACCAGTTTAAACTGGACTTTCTGTTGGCATTTATGAATCAAACAGATAATGTTGATGCCAGTCTCCAAACCTGCATGGGGGCCTGATTGTAGTCATGTTCTCTATCTCATTTTTTGAGCTGTGGTCTATGGTGAGCTATGGAATAAGTTAATAAGTAATGCATTAAATGAAGATAGAGGTTTCTTTAGCCAAATAATTTTGGGACACAACAGGTGAAATGATGGAAAAAAGGTTTTTTTCCACCGTAGAACTTCTCATGGTACCTAAGATGGAAATAGGAGTTTTGATATGTGGTGGTTGTATACAGTAAGCAGAATTTTTCCCTTATGTACACACACACTTTGGCAAATACAGGTCTGCCTCTTAATATCCTTGGTTTCTGCTTGCCAACCTCCTTACTGTTGATACCTCCTCACTGTCTCTCCTTCTGGGTTTGCACCAACCCTACCCCAGGACTTTATGTGTGCATGTGTGTGTACATAAATATGTATACCAATCTTATATTTAAGATCTCTGAGGGAAGATGTGGTTGTATGTGTTAACATTTATTTCCAGAGTAAGACATTGTTGGTCAGGGCTCTCATTTCAGGCTGCCTTAAAGACCATTGGTAAGTTTCCTTTACATCAGGTACCTAATTATGACCAGAATGGTAGATTTATAAGGACTTTCTTTGAAAAAGACAACTTTATTTCTTCTGTCTTTACAACTGAATGTAAATTTCCTGACAACATGTATGTCTTATTCATCATGGTTTGCCCCAGTATTTTAGCATAGAAACTGGAGTACATTATATGCTAAATCAATATATGTTGACTCTTTAAGCTTGGTAAGTCTTTGCAGTCATCTGAGAGTGGGATAGTGTAACTAGCAGTCATACTGCATGGCTTGTCCATTATGGATGAGTTGCTTTTTTTCTTCTTACTGCATCCTCCAGTATCTTTTGAATAGAAATCAGCTCTGTTAGACTCTATAAACATCCAAAGTGAAAAGTAAGTGCTTTTGAATATGCTGTTTTCATTGCCATAAAAACTAATTTCTTCCTTAGGATTCATTTCATATGCCATATTCTCCATGAAGCTTTCAGTTTTCTCAGACACAGTTACTCATTCTATCCTTGGTGCTCTCATAGCACTTTTAAACATATTTCTCTCAGCATGTGCATCACAGTATTGTTGAATTTTGTCCTTCGAGCCAGTCTTTGAAGATGGAGACAGAATGAAAACTTAAGTGGTATATGTGTGCTATCAGGATCTCATCAAGCTTTTAAAATATCTGTATCCTGGAAAGGGAAGGAGAGGATAGTAAAGAAACAGTTTGAGCATCCAGAAGATATTTTGGTACTTGTTACATGTAAGGTAGTGAAGAACAAAAGTGGGACCTATGAGGTACCTTGTTTGGCACTTTGACATATACTAGCTTGTTGAGCTGTGAGGTAGCTATTATTCCCATCTTACAGATAAGGAAATAAAGTGCTTTGCTTCCTGTCACATTTGTCTGGTAACAATAAAGTGCCTCCAGAATGTTGAATGATGAATTGACTGGGTCTAACTCTAACCCTCGTGCTGATGTCCCCATGTACGGCCTAGCATACCAACACCAAATTGTGATGGTCAACTTCAGATTGTTTTTTTTTTTTTTTTTCTTTCCATCTTTGGAGAATTCTCTCCATGAGAGCAGGTTTCTGTTTTTGAGATGGAAAACCAGTGAGAAAGTATGATATATTAATAATGACCTTTCTTTTGTGGCTCTAAAACACTTTTGATCTCTGCTGAATCAGTGGCAGCAGATTTGGCTGTAAGAAGTGCCCCACTGAGTTTTCAAGACTGTAGCCTTTCAGAAGCAGATCACCAGCCTGTCTTCCAAGGTGCCGCTGGGTGCGTTTGAACTGCCAACTTTTTGGCTAGTAATTGACCACTTACCTGTTTACCACCCAGTAACTCCTACTCTTACCTACTACACTGTATTTGTATTTACCTTAAATATGTGGACCTATAAACATGTATCTATGTTAAATGCTCTTAGTAACACTAGATACTAAATCTGCTCTGAATCCATAGTGATGTGTATAGCACCTTGTTTATTATCTTGAAATAATATAATCTATGTCACTTTCTCCCTCTTCCTTCTACTATCTGACATAATTTTACTTTCTAAGAACTGTTATTATGAAGGATTTAATACTCTTTAGTAGGTTTGCTATGAACTGGGGTGGACTTGATGGTACCTAACGATGATGACTCTTTCAGACATTGGTTTCTTACCTGTTTGTCACAAAGGGGAGGAAGATATGGCTAAGTCAGAGAGAGAAACACACTTAAATTTTTGTGAAGATGATCTTTTGAAATCTCTTATCAGAGTTGTACTTATTTTATATCTTATTCCATTTAAAAAATACATATGTGGGGAAATTAATTTTCACATGCTAGATGTGCTATCAGGTGTACATCTTGATACTGTGAGGCCATTTTGAGGATGAAAAAGTCTGATGGCTTGTTCTTTTTCTACTTTCAGCCCACTGGTTGCTTACTATATAAGTGCATCTGGGGAAGGAGGTGTGTGTCTGACCTGATCTCACAGCTGGGTGTTCCCAGAAACATGTGCATCTTAATTGGGAATGTGCCATCACTCTAATTGTATTTTGTCATTAATTAGACAATGAATTTTTCTTCTATAGCTTTCAGAAGTTTTTACGTCTCTGTTGACAGCAGCTCTTAAGTTGGTTAAAAAACACACAAAATAAGTCTACTCCTGGCAAAAATATGTTAAATGGGTTTGAAGCAGTTGATTATTGTCTCAGTCCAATACTTTGTATTATTTTAAAAAACGTGTCCGAAGGAGTGAGCATCATATCATTCTTTACAAGATTTTAAAGAGAAATGTAACTTGCATTTAAAAAAAAAAAAAAAGTCTATTCTACAAATATCATAGAACAAAGTCAGGCCTACTGATGGAATGATTTATATCAGGATCCCTTGAATGACAGGGCTAATTAATTTTCCTATGGAGAGCACTTTGTGGGTGTGGTATAGTAAATTACTTAGTGTGGCTTTTCTACCCATAAGTCTTTGTAAACTCCAAGGTGGGATTTGCTATGAGGCCTGAGGAGCTCCTGGTTGCTGAAGGTGTCCACCTGGAGTATTTCTGTTGGGCGTGGCACAAAACAATGTTCTGGGAGGTGCCCACTCTCTCTCAGTTGCTTAGAGTTCTGATGCTATAATTGGCTAGTTTGACCACCCTGCCGGGCTCAAAAAGGAGGCCTCCTGGAGGCAGAACTCTCTCTGACTGCTGGTTGAGGAAGACATGCTGCTGAAAGAGACACATGGCCCTGAAAGAGACACAAGAGACACGCATTGCTGAGTGAGACACCGAGGGACCAGCACTGCTGGGAAAGAGACTGTGAGAGACTCTTGGCTGAGGGACGGTGGGCTGAGAGAGAGACTGAGCATTCTTCCTGAATTTGAGTTGTAGACTGGTGCTTCCCTAATAAACCCTGTAGTCTGTGAGTTCTGTGTGGCCACTGCAGTGAATTATCGAACCCAGGAGAGAGGTGGTGGGTGCTTTGGGAGGAACGGTTAGTGAAAGGGCTGGAGGGAGGCAGCATGTTTGGCCTTGCAGTAATAGGCCTTGGTTTACTGCTGGTAATCCTGCCTTCCCCTCGTAGGGTTAGAGGAGGTCAGAACAGGTGGCCTCCTTGCCGTTTTTGCAGTGGGTATGTCATCAGCCACCTTGAGAAATTAAGAGAGGCACTTGGCACATATTTTTATACTTTTTTTAAAAAAAGAAATGAATAATAATTTACAAACTGCTAAAATTTTGCTTATTTTAATCCTGTTTATATTTATGTAGAGTAGAAATAAAGCAGAGGTCATCTCTCTGACCTCTTCATTGTAGAATTTATGCTTTATGTGTGTGCGTGCTTGTGTGAACTATAGTGAAAAAATCACTTTTGTATTATACAAGGAAGTTGGAAAAAAAAGTCTTAATTTATAGTAAGCTATGTATCTGATAATGCCTTTTATTTACAGTACTTTTAGACTCTTCAGTGCTTGAAAAGTAAAGACACTATTTTTTTTTTTCCTCTAGAAACATGCTAAAGGGCAAGTATTATTTGACAAAGTATGTGGACATCTCAATCTCTTAGAGAAGGACTACTTTGGACTTTTGTTTCAGGAAAGCCTTGAGCAGAAAGTAAGTGCAATTATTTCAAGTTTGTTTATATCTTGCTACAAAAATAGTAATTTTCTCTTAACCAGTATATCTTAGCATGTTTATCTTTAAACTGACTTTTTGTGACATACTTTAATGTTCATTGTACAAATTTGGTAAATACTGAAAACTTACAAAGAACCTTTAACTTCTTGGCATTTTAGGGGCATATGTGTGTATTTGCATGCTTTCCACTGCATGTATCATGAGCCGACTATTAGAATGCAATGTCTTATTCTTCATAGTACTTGAGAAAGAAATAACTGATTTAAACATTTCTATGTTGAATTTGTGTCTCTTGAATTCCTTCATTAAGTCAATTTGCTTAGTGAATTTATAAAACAAAAGTGACTTAAAAATTAAAACATTTTCAAGTGTGGGAAAATTACTGTTCTGGCATACAATAAAATCATTTTTTTAAAGTGGTGTTATCACAATTGTATCATATTCTTAGCTTTTGGTAACAAATATAGAGGGAGGCAAATCAAATCAGTGCATTTTGTGGCAATTGACTGTATTCTAGGAATCAAGAATTTTTGAAGGCAGGGCAGGAGATACACTGGAAGGAATGCAAGGGTACCCATGTGTACCTGCCTGGAGGTTCAGGAGGGAGTGTTTTGCTGAATAGACTGTGGTGACTACGTGGCATGAAGGTGCTCCTTGTCCTGTTGTTGGACTCTTGGGGATATGGGCTCCAACCAGATTGAGGTGGTAGGTTCGGCCAGCCAGTGGTCCCATGGAGATCTGCCTGATCTCAGGAATTTTACAGGACACTAAGCAGAGCATTAATGGATGCCCTGATGCTTAATGATAATTCCAGAGAACTCCAGGGGCTTCTCAATCTCACAAGTAAATTTAAAGAGAGAATTATTAATTCTGGCAAAACCAGAGTCAGCCTGCAGGCTTCTTCATTGTTAGGAAAAAGGATTTTCTCTTTGCTTCTACTTCACTCTCTGAACCGTATGACTGATTTTGATGAGAGACGTGAATAGAAGAGTACAGAATAAAGATGAGGTCTAGGGTTACATCTAAGAAGAAGCCCTTTTAGTTTGTTAGATTATGATGGTAGATAGACTTGCTGTGACTATTTTGTTTAAGGATGCCCATAATACTTGATCGCAGTAAAATGGGTCACTGTCCAATATGTAACATTTAAATTATAGTCAAAAGAACAGAATAGTCAGTAGAGGAAAATACACTGTGAATTTTGTTATTTGCATACATACCATCATTGTTTGTATTTGTATGTTCCAGTAATAAAATAGCGGGTACTGATGGTGATAATTATGCATAAATTAAATTGTCTCAACTTGCTTAGTTTTAAATCCTTGATATATAATTTGTGGTTTAGTTCCCTGTTTACACTAAAGACAATTAAATTGCATGCTTTTCTACTGAGTAGTCTGGGAGTATTTTTATTAGAACCCTTTTTAGAATACTCTTCTCAGATGTAATAACATATTAAACAGTTAAACTAAATAAACTAGATACTCTTTTTAGCCTATAAACTATTAGAGCAGTCTTGATAATGTTTCTAGCCATATGCTCTTCTACTGGCCCTTGAGGTACAATGAAACATTACTATGGCTCTTCTAGTCATGCTTTTTGTGACTCCCACTGGATGACTGGGTTGGACTATGCAAATGTAGGGTGCTTGTGACCCACCAGGGGGATTAGGCAGCTTACTAATAATGTAAATAAGGTACGTGGTACCCTTGTTTGGGTTAGACTGTGCAAATAAGGTGTATGGAACCCTGACAGGAGGGTTGGTCAGTTTTGCTGTCGCTGGGTTTGGACTGCCATCTCAGAGGTGAAAGGGGATCTTCCTACCATCAGGAGCAAAGAGCAGGGAGTGGATCACATCCTTGGACCCAAGATCCCTGCACTGAGATGGCAGAGAGAGAGGGTTGAGAAAGACAGCAGTGGATCAGAACCTAGAGACCGACATGAAACTTAGCAGCAGGCTTCCTGGCCCACAGAGTGAGCAAGTGAGTGCGTTCAGACAGGAGTGTCTCTTTGGGTGCCTATCTGCAAAGCTAAACACTCCCCTGAGCAGGGTAGAGGCCAGAGAGAAGCGGCTGAGAAGAAGCTGTCATGATTGAAAAAGTGCACCCTGAGCTGTTTTTAATACTGACTTGCAACCTTTTACTTCCCTAATAAATCCATGAATTTTGCGCAGCCATTGCAGTGACTTAATGAACTGAGTAGAGAAGTAGTGTGCCATGGCAGGGACGATTGGTGTCAGAATTGGTGAAGATGTTGGACAATGGCAGCATATACGACCTCTTCATCGTAGGAATGAGCTTTGGGCTAATGTTGCTGATGCTGAGCCTCAGTCTTGCCCTTACGAAGTTAGAGGAGGGGAGGTCGGGTAATGCTGCCCCCCATCCTCTAGTTGCAGCCCTCAAAGCTACAGAAGAAAAATGATGAAAATTTGGTTATTGTTTCAGCTTATTTGAGATTACATTCTGGAAGGTTCCTAAAAGCATTTAATCTTTGTAAAATAGGGAAACAATCCAGAATGTTGTAAAATAGATATAATAAATGTTAGCGACAAACAGGAAATGCAATAATTAAGACACCTGGTGTTTCAGGAACATTGGTTTTGCATAAGAAAGAGTGGTATTTCGATAGTAGCATTTACTGGTTTTTATTTTGATGACTTTCAATATATGTAACTAATCCATATCTTTTACCTGAATCAAAGACCTGTAGACATACTGACTATTGGACTGTACCCAGTTGTCTAAAAGCAGTCTCATCATTCCCCCTTCCTCCTCAAAGTTGTCCCTGTTCCCTAAAGAGTAGATCTAGATTGCTACTGCTTCTGTACCTCCTTCCATTGCTTGCCAATCAACTCTCTTTTCTATCTGCTTTACATTTCCTCTGCATTCTTTTCCACAGTTTTTACTTTGGTTTAGGTCTTTTGTCATGTCTCCTTTGACTCTTGTATTAGCCGGCCCCAGAGAGCTCTGGTGGCATAGTGCCTAAAGGCATTTGACTGCTATCCAGAAGGCTGATGGTTCAAACCCACCAGCCACTCCTCAGAAGGAAAATTGGGCAATCTACTTCCATAGAGATACTGCCTCAGAAACCCAAGGAGGGGTCGCTATGAGTTGATTGTCTCAATGGCAGTGAGTTTAGACCCAGTCCCAGGACCCTATAATCCATTTTCCACACTGCTGCTTGATCGAGCTCTTAATCTGATTTCACCCCTCCCTGGCTTAAAAGCTGAGAGCTCTGTCCACTCTTTGGAAGGAAGATGGGGCAATCTACTTCTGTTGTGATACTGCCCCAGAAACCCAAAGAGGGGTTGCTGTGAGTCGAAATCGACTCGACAGTAGAGTGTTCTGGTGGTGCAGTGGCTGAGGCATTCGGCTGCTAACCAGGTCTCCTGCTGGCTGCTCTGTGGGAGAAAGATGAAGCAGTCTGCTTCTGTAAAGATTTATAGACTTGGAAATCCTATGGAGCAGTTCTGCTCTGTACTGTAGGGTCACTGTGAGTCGTAATAGCCTTGGTGGTAGTGGGTGAGTTGGCTTAAAACCATTTAATGTATGCAATCTAAGCGCCTTAGTGTGGTTTACAAGGCACCTCAATCTACCTCTTTAGCTCTGTTTCTCACTAGCCTTCATATGTAGTTCATATTTAACTTAGTGACATATCAAACTTCTGTCTCAAAATGAGCTTTGCTGGACCACATTGTATCTCCTTACACATACTTTCCTACATTTGGAATACCCTTCTCACATCTTTTTAATATAAATGCTTACCTTTCCTTAAGATCCAACTTAAGTATTCTAATCGCTGAGGTTTCCCTTGACTGCCTTACACCACGTCTACACGGCTACAAATTCAAGGGGAGTTCATAGCTCCCTCTGGCTGTCATTTAGACATTTACTACAAACCTTTCTGTGTGTCATGTCTTTCTCTCTGTTGCTCTATGAACTCCTTGAGGGTAGAGGCCATGCCTTATTTATCTTTGTAGCCTCAGGATATCTACACATTAACAAATATTTATTAAATATTACCCGTATGCAAACTAGATTACTAACTGCTGAGGGTCTAGCAGAAACAATTAAGACAGACCCTGCCTTCACAGATGTTTATGCTTTATGTTCCAGCTGAGGAGACAGTGAAAAAAAATAAAAACAAACTAATTACACCCTTAGTAAGTTTCGATTACTGGTATATGGGAGCGAAAATTCAAGGTATTGATGGGAAAGGCTCTTCTCAGGAGGAAATGATGCTTAAGCAGAGACTTAAAATGTGAATAGGCTTTTGCTGGGTGCTTTTTTTTGAAAGGGGTGCTCTAGACAAGGAAATAAATGTATACGTGGGGCCTGAGGCAGTGTGAACTGCTGCTGGCTTGAATGTCAGAAGTCTGGTATGCTTGGTGGGGGGAGAGTGACATTAGGTTTGTGGGGATTGAGGTTTTTAATAGGGGTCAGATGTTGCAGGGCCACCTAGGCTATATGCTAAGGTCTAGGAGATTTCCTTTTTCCTAAGAAAAGTATTAACGCATCGATGGGCTAAAGCAGGAATGTGATGTGTGACCTGCTTCATCCAAAGCACAAAAGTGACTTCAGTTAAGGTTGTAGGAGTAGAGAGGTGAACATTTTAAGAAGATTTAAGAAAGAGGTAGAAGCAAATTGATGATTGATGCATATGAGAATGATAGACCCAAGAATGATGTCTGGGTTTCTGGATGGATAAAGGGTACTATTCAGTGAGAAGGAGAGTAGGATTGGATGGAGAGGGCATATCATGAGTGCAGTTTCAGACATACTGAGTTTTAGATCACATGACAATTTCTGGAAAGAGGAAGTGAATAATGAATTTAATTTTTGTATGTACCTTAAAGATGGCAGCTAGCATGGAACACAATACTCCAGCTATAATCTATCTGAACATTACAGGGTACAGCGACGTGATTTTATTTCTTGACAAGAATACTGAGATTTGAGTCAGGCATACTTATTTAT